GATTAGTTCGCCTAATGGATTGCTTGTTAATGGGGGCCCAAATCTGAGAAGGCAGTAGGATTTGAATTGGGTCCAACTGAGCCCAGGTTCCTCCTACTCCAATCTATAAAACCAGAGCTACGCCTCCTCCGTCATGTGGAATGCGACTAAGCTTACCTTGTCTCTGTCCTCTGTCCGTTGGTTGCGGAAGAACTGCTCACATCTGTACAGCCATCCCAAAGGATCTCTAGCGCCATTATAGGAAGGGAACTCCAGCCTGCTGTATTTGGGAACGATCGCGGCTCCCTGGGCAACGACCTGCTGCTCGCCGGACGATTCTGCCATGTTTGGTTGGCGGACGATTGTGGTTGCAGCCCCTTCTGGATTCCTTCCCTTGCTAGAAAAATATAACTCCATCAAGCACCTTAATTCTTGGACGTCGTCCTTGATCTCGCACACCTCCGTGCTGTTTTCCACGAGCTTGTGCTCTAGTTCAGGAACCCTAGTTGTCAACTGCTCAAGGTCACCCATGACGCCTGGCTCTGATACCAAATTGTTAAGGGCCTGCGAATAGGATCTCGTCATAGGTCGGTCCATAGGGAAAACCTCTTGTTTTCCCTTGTTCCTCCCTTTTCTTGAGGAACCTATCTTGGCGCCTTAATGGTGATTTGTTAAAGAGATCACCAACTCTCCTCTGCTCTTTCTTGACTGAAAATTTCGATGCCTTTATTGAATATCATCAACTCCTTTAAATAGGATATTACAAGAAGATAAGAGTCCTACTTTTAGGAAGACTCCCTACTAATCTATACTACTGAATTTAGCTAAGAGAAACAAATAAGATAAGAACACTGAACAGATAAGACTCCCCACTAATCTATACTACTGAATTTAGCTAAGATAGAAACAGATAAGATAGGATAGGGAGACTGTACCTAGCTAACAGATAGGATAGGATAGGGACACTGTATCTAGCTAACAGATAGGAACACTGAATAAGATAAGATAGGAACACTGAGTTAATCGCCCATTACTGCTGCTGTCCATTAAACTCTGAATTAATCACCCATTACTGCTGCTATCCATCACTGCTGCTGTTAGCGGCTGTAAGAGCATTCACAACAGATTGAGTCTAAGTTTTCTGTCAAATGTAAGATTATGGTATAATGTAGAACTCTCCTTCAAATGACTTGTCTAATGTCTAATTTCTAGTGGAAGAGATAGAACCATTTTCAATGGCTTTAATGAATGGCATTGAGGTCTAGTTTGATAGTTTCTTTATTCTCTTTATTTTATGCTTATGGCTTTGTTTGTTAGTGGTGGGCCTTAGTTATTGGCCTGTTTTTTTTCTCTTTTATTGTTGTCTTTAGTGCAGGCCGCCCTACTAAGGGTAACCATGTAAATGACCTCATTATTACAATCAAAGGATAAAAGATATTGTTTGGGGCTGGAGAGAGGATCAAACTACTCTCTTCTCCTCCCCTTTCTTCCATCTTCTTCCTCCATCACTTCTCTCTCTTCCATCTCCTTCAATCTTCTTCTTTCCTGTTTTTCTTTTTTTTTTTTTTTTACTTCAGATTATTGCAGGTGGGATTTACAACTAAAAGATCCCCAAAATGCCCTAATATTTCCAAGACAAATTTCCATTTCCATGGGTAGCGACACAAAATATTTTTGGAATTGACATATTCCCCAGTGAACACTACCAGCACTATGTGAAGTACAGGACATAGTTTCCATGACATATTTCCATTTCCACTTCCATGGGTAGCAACATGAAAATTTACTGGAATCGACAAATTCCACTACCAGCACTATACAGAGTACAAGAGAGAGCATTATAAAATAAGTTGGTAGCAATATTGTAGATAGGTGGAATAACAATGTTATTGCCTGCCTAACTTACATGATTACCACTTTGAGCTAGCTCAAAATTCATTTCAAACATGAAGTTAAATATTAATTTTTTTCTTTGTGTAATATATTATTTGGTTGATCTATTACAACCATTTACATTTTCTATGAGTTTAAATTTTACTTTAACTCATTCTATCATGAAGTTTTGAATCTTAGGGTTTACAAAACAACTTTAAAATGTAATCTTTTGTCTGTAGCCTTAGTTTTTTGGCTTTGTTTAATGATTTGAAACAACATAATAATTTGAAAAGGTGTTCCTATGCTTCTTTTGTTATTTCATAAAATATCGTTCTATATTTTTGCATACTATGATGTTTCCACCATGGCTATTTTTTTTACAATATTTCCATACAATACTTCCGACATTTCTGACATGTTTCCTATATTTGGAGGATCGACACTTTTTTGATCAATAACTGAAATTCATTAAATTTTGTTAGAATGCTCAAGTCAGGGGTATTTTGGTCATTCTGGTGTATCTTCTTGAAAGTGAAAGGTCTATTGTATCTGAGTTTAAGTTATGTGTCCCATCTTCTATGAGGGACAAAATTGTCTTTCTTGTAACTCTAAGTTTTATGAATAAAATTCAAGTGGGTCGGCTAGGAGAGTGATTTTTCACATTCTCCCTTCTAGTCTGGCCAAACACTCTTCTTCTCTCCTTCTTCTTTCTCTTTTCTTTCTTCTTTCTTCTTCTCTACTTTGACCTAGAATCAACTAGGGTTTATTCACATGGTATCAGAGCAATAAGGTCTCGTGTTTTCTTGCTGCTGTCTTCTTCCTGGGTTCGCCGCCAGCTTCACAGTAGGTTTCATCATCCTACAGCTGACCTGATTGAAGACTCGATAAAGGGCTGAAAAGGAGTTKCCATTTTGAGGGCCTGGAGGTGAGAATGCCTCTGGCCGGTGCTGTGGTGGTCGTTGAAGTGGTATACTAGACCCTCTATTCAGTGTACGAAGAGGGCTGGACGTATACAGGTATGGACACTGCTGTCGTGTGTTCAGAAATGGACTGTGAATGTTAATTTTTGTGCTTCAAAAGTTAGTTGTTGTGGTGCTGGGTGAAACTGATACACATATCAGTCATGTTCCTTTGTTTTCTTGCTCGCATGTGTGCTGAAAGAAGAGTAGTARACTGCTGATGTCCACGACAGCAGTGGTGTGGTGATGGTTGTGTTATGGTGGCTGACATATCTATGATTCTAAATACTTAAAAGTGAAC